CAACCACCTTGATTAACGTTTACCCAAAGGCAAAACTTTTACTTTTCCCATTTGGAATAGAATAAGGGAGGGTTATAACCCCTGTCATTGTTTTGCCGTGTTTTTTCCATACAAGAGATTCCCCTTCTCTTCCTGTCTTGTAGCCAAAACAGGAAATAAAAGGAATCCCTTCAAAGTGAGGGAATCCCAGGGTGTCACCAGTGTCTCCATTGGAATGTTACTGTTTGGGTATCAACCCAAAATTTGGTATTTGTTTTTTACTTTTGATGAGAATGGGAAATAGGACAAATAGAGAGAGTGAATCTCTCTAATGGGGGCACAGACAACAATTAAAGCTGGCAGATGTCCTAATCCTTCTCCATGCTGTATAAAGAAAAGCAAAAAGTTTTGCCATTAGTTACACTTTAAATTCACATCAGAGTCCCCTCATCACATCAAAGTCCCCCATCACCACAGAGTCCCCCCTGGATCAGAGTCTTCTCGTAAACTGGGTCTAATACTTCTAAAGTAAGAAGAGTGTCCATGGGACTTTAGAGTCACACCATAAAATGAATACCATCTTGTATTAAAAAAATACATAATTTTATGAACACATTTCAAGGTTAAAAACAAAATACGTGTCACCAAACACTAAAAATGAACGTTAGTTTATGCTTTAGATAGACACGCTGTGTTCATACTAACTTAAGCACATAAAGATAGATACACTGATATGTGATCTTGATGCGTTTCGGGAAACAATGTTCACTTCTTCAGGAGATGATAAAGTCCTGATTATAAGGACATATGTAGAGACCTTGTTATTAAAATATAGAATATTGGAAATATGTGTACCAACACAGGGAACACTATATTTAGATATAAATGGGCTCAACTCCCCAGCAAATATGAGTGGTTATACTCACACACCGGTCAGTAAACCTCAAATAGGAGCAGGTCCATCTCTAGCCAGATAAAAAGCAAAATGAAAAGGTGCTGTCTGCCATTTCTTGGGATTAAAGCTTAGTACACATAGGACAAATGTTGGGCGGCATTGGCTGGTTCAATAGAATCTGGCTGCTATTCCGACCATGTGTACGGCAGCCGGTCCAACAGAAGCCAGCCCTTTTGGATGGCTTTTGTCGAAGGAGCATGACCAAAAAAGGTCTACTGATTGGCTCCCATCAGCGCTGTCAGCCAATGGTTGAGGGCGCTGGACACAGTTTTCTGGTGGGGAGCCGTCCCCCCTGTCGGAACACAATAGCACAGCAGGGGAGATTGTTGTACTAACATTGGATAGTTAGTACAGCGGCTCCTCCTGAGCTGTCCGGTTTTTTCATACAGCCTACTGGATTGAATGATTAAAAAAAAAAAAAAAAAAATTAGTGTGTACCAGGCTTTAGGCTGTGGCCTCTGGGGGAACCCAAATGGCACCACACCCCAATGATAAACACTGGCCTAAAGCAAATTCCAAAGGAGTGTTTACAGCTCTTTAGATCCCAAAACAAACTTGATTCCACTGCATTGTTACAAAGTGCTGAGAGAATAGTAATTTCAAGCATTCCTATTTTATCATTTTGGTTTTCTATTCAGTTTTGATTGTATACTGAGAATGTTAAACAACTTCATCACATGCTGCACATTAGATAATAGGACTCAGGAGGGATGGAGCTTCTATTTACTGTCCAGCTCTGATCACAGTCTCCTGCATTGCAGGATTTATTGAGGAAGCATTCATTAACATGCATTTCATACAGTTGTCACTCTCGGAGAACTGCAGATATAGAGAACATGCACATCATTTTGTGCCTCTGCTGTTAGCATGTCTCTTGGTGCATTTATGCAGATTTACATTGACCTAACACAGCGATTTGTGATTTCATTTAGGTAAAAGCGATCTATAATAATGAGCGCTGCAACCCATACAGGATTGTTATACGTTTTGTGATCAACTGTAAAGGAATTATCGAAAACACAAGCTATCCGTTTATAAATGTTAGCATTTAATTAAATATCACCATTTCATTGATAGAGATTTACAGCACACACATGGGTATTTGTTTGATCGATCAGAAATAAGTTCAGTCATGGCCAATTGACTTTGCAGTGTTGAAACCAGTCAAGAGCTTGTTAAATTGATTAAATGGAGGGTCTTTGGCTTGCGATTTGTGTTCATTTTGAATACTTTAGTTGTAAAGTATAATCAAGTAAATGTTCGTATCGATACACATGGGGTCACCATTAACTTAGAATATCTACTGTAGTTGGTCCCTGACTGAAGATGGCCATAGATGGTTATTTTTTTTTTTTGTTCAGCCAGCAGGCTGAACCAAAAAAGAAAGAAATCCTCCATCTACACAACGAGATGAGCTGTAATTTCAGTAGTAAAAGTCTTTAAGTTGTCAACTTCAGCAGCACGGAAAAGGGTGAAGCAGATGTGGTTGAAACTGAGTTTCTCATCACATAGGATCAACTAAGCCATATCCAAATGCCTTCTCTATCATTTTGAGCAAGCATTCAGCCAGAATGGAGGGGGGTTTAAATGTTGAAGGGATGAGAGGTTATGTAGGTTGAGGTTTTATGTCTAGGAGGTAATGTGGTGGCCAGGTTTGTGCTTCGTGAGTTACAGGGGTTGGGGATGTAAATCTAGAGAAGTGGTACTGGACGCAAGCTTAGGGGCCCAAGCTCATATCTTGCCCTTTTCTCTATTAAATTTGTGTTTTGCCCTTCTTAGGAGTAAATATAGGCACATATTCTACTGTATTGCAGTCACACAAATGATATTTCATTTTACATTGATGTACTTACTATGCATTGTGAATATGCTATGGATCAGCAAATGTTCTGAAATATGCCATATATCACCTAGTGTCAAAATTATCATGTAGAATGGTATTGTCCATACTTTGAAAGTTTAAATGATTCTAAAGAAACACTGTTCAAATTACATTGTCCCTTCTATTTATGTTTGTGGATGATGACACTGTAATTATTTTAATTAAAAAATTAAGTACCTGTTTTCTAATCAATATACAGCTGTCACATGACCCCGCTCTTTCTCAGCCTTTCTGCAGAGAAACATAAGCAGGAGGAGCTTCTAGTCTTCTGATGCTGGTCACTTGTTAATAAAAAAAAAAAAAACAATAAAAAAACCTGCCTTTGGGATTAAAGAGTAAAGATTACAAAAGGAAGATTAAGAGTAAAAATAAATATCAATAAACAGTTCTAAAATTGTCATACAAATATATATTTTGAAATAAAAGCTTTATTATTTTTGTCAGTAACATGGTGTGGGTGGGTTTCTGCCAGTCACAGGCTGTGTCACGTCCCTCCAGCCTGTGTCTTAAATTAACAGTGAGGTGAAGCCTCCATCAATCAAGATGTAATACCCCACCCCTATTTTGTTTAGCTGAATAGTGAGCATGGAGGAGGGAGGGAGTGGATTGCCATTTACCACGGTGTATACAATTACATGTGTGACTCTATAGTCACATAGGCTGCTCAGACATGCTAGGAAGGAAATGCTCAGTATAGAAACTCACTGAAAACTGAGCATGTGCAGAGCTGCCAGCACTGCTCTGCAAAATCCACAGCTGCATTGGGGACGTGGACAGAAGGGGGAGATAAGGAACAGGAGGATCAACCAGGTTTTTTTTTTTTTTTTGCACAATACAGAAGATGAATCCCATAGTGAGTATGAACAGTATGTAATACAGTATGTGTTGATAGTTTTTAATGATGTGGATTTAGTGTCACTTTAACTTTGAAATAAATGCTATATCTACATGATGCTACCCCTCTTTATGTAATAAATGTATAGAAATATGTTGGGCTTTCTTAGTAGAACAATCCTTGTTTCTGCTGCCTTTTTTAAATTGTACTTTTTAATCCTTCCACTGATACAGTATATGCATTGCCTTATCAGCCCTCTTTTCATCTCTAATATTGTACCAGTTTACTGTGGACACTAAATCATAATACATTTTCACTTCATGACATTAGCAATACTTGTTCATTTAGAACACAGATACAGTTTATCCTTTTTTGTTACTGACCACTTTTGTTGACATAGAAGGTAATTTGCGCTTCATTGCATTGTTAATGTACTTGTCCAACTTGATATACATCCTCTATTAATAGTTTTACAGACTAAGATTCGATTTCTGCTTGTTAGCAGTACACACTTAAAGGATAAGTTCTTTTATAAAATAATAAATACGTGTTTTTTTTTCTTGGGAGCCTGCAAAGCGTTGCACCCATGATCAGCAGATCATGGGTGTCATGTCAGGTTCCTGAAGACTCTGTGCAGCCATCCGCCCATACCTCGTGCTCGAGCAGACAGTTACTGGAGTGCAGGAAAGACTGGAGTGCAGGAAAGGCCAGTGAACTACAAGAGAGCTCATCAGTGACTTCACAGTTCATTGTGGACTACAAGCTGTCTGCCATGGTGGTAGACAGGACTTGTAGTTAAATTATTCACAGATCTGTGCGAATGAATGACACAGCTGTGCAGATGCCCGCCTGCTGCCACAATGGGGGAACGGGGTGAGTGGGGCTGCTGTATTAGTAACATATTACATGTTAAACCTTGAATACAGGTGTAATATGCTATTAAGGATGAACCTATCCTTTAACCGCTTCCCGTCCGACCTATATCAGAAATACTGCTACAGGGCGGCACGGGTGCACAAAATCACGTATATATACGTGATTCTTCATTTCGGGTAGGGGGCACATGCCCTATTCGCGGACGTAGCTGTTAATCACTGGGTTCCAGCCGGTGATTACTTTCTGGTGCCCAGTGATTTCCGAGTATCTCAGATGGAGAGGAGAACTGTTTTGTTTAATAACAGTTCTCCTCCCTGTCAGCTTGGGCACACTGCTCTGGATGTGAGCAGTGTGAGTACAGTGAAGCACACTGATGCCGCCCCCCTAGTAAAACACTCCTAGCACACAGGTAACCCTTTCAACATCCCTCCATGTTAACCCCTTCCTGCCCAGTGCCATTAGTACAGTGTCAGTGCTTTTTTTTTTTAGCACTGATCACTGTATTGGTATCACTGGGGATGTCAGTAACACCAAGTCAGTTCCCCCCAGTGTCAGAATGCCCACCGCAGTCCCGCTATAAGTCGCTGATCTCTGCCATTACTAGTAAAAATAAAAAATAGAAAAAGAAATCCCAGTATCTATACCGCCATTTGTAAACGGTATAACTTTCACGTAAACCAATTAATTTACTCCTGTTGGGATTTTTTTTAGCAAAGACATGTAGCAGAATACATTTTGGCGTAAATTTATGACAAAATTTGATTTCTTAAAGTTTTTTTGTACTGGACATGTTTAACCACTTCAAGTCCGGACACTTTTACCTCTTTCCCGTTCAGGCCAATTTACAGCTTTCATTGCTATCACACTTTGATAATTGCGCGGTCATGCAACACTGTACCCATATGAAAGATTTTTTTGCATTTTTTGAGACCGATAATAACTGGATACTAACATTTATAGGTAAAGTTGATCCAGGGAATATCCGATTGCCTCTCAGGGGATCAGGAAGGAATTTTTTTTCCCAGCAGGAGCAAATTGGATCTTGCTTTGCTGTGTTTTTTTTTTTTTTTTTGCCTTCCTCTGGATCAACTGTGGGTATAGGATTATAACTTTTTTTTTTTTCTCTATGGTTGAACTGGATGGACTTTTGTCTTTTTTTCTGCCAGACTAATTATGTAACTATAGACTCTAGAGAGAGAGATATCATATATATAAAACTTTATTTTGGTGGTATTTATTTTTTTTTTGCTATATACGTAAATGAAAAAGTACAAAAATTGTTTTTCTTATAAACGTTTGCAAATAAATAGTCTTTCTTCATAAATCTTGGCCAAAATTTATTCATCTATCTTTTTAGTAGAAAAAAAAAAAATAACCCAAATTAGTTTATAAACCAAAAATTATAATTTTTCCCCAAAAAATTTTACATGCTTATTTTATTTTTTATATATTTTTTTTTTTTTTTAACATACTGTCACCCTAGCAGTACAGTGTCTCAATAGTGACACTGTACTACTTGTGGGGAGGTGATAATGCCTGTAAAAACTATAATTTCTCCTTCTCTCTGGCTGCATTCCTGAGATTCCTGCATTGAGAAATACTGTACGAGCTGTGATTGGTCTTAGCTAGTCACATGGTACAAGGCTGTTGTGATAGCCTTGTACCATGTGACCTCTGTGATCATTCACAGATTTCACAAGTAGTAAGAAATGATGCCAGGAGTGACATCTTGTTTACTACTATTCATGTGATCACTTATTGGCCAATCCATGATCACATGAATCGGGACCTCACACAGAGGTCCCATACAGCGATCTGTGAGCACACTCCCAAGGAGCGCGCAGAGGCAATGGATGTGGGGGATATTTATAAATGTCCCCCCGCATCAGCAGCTTTCCTGTCTTACGCATCAAGAAGTTAATAGCAAAAAGTCAAAAATATTTTTTTTTTCTCAAAACAGTCGGTCTTTTTTTTTTTTTTATAGCGCAAAAAATAAAAACCACAGGCAATCAAATGCAACCGAAAGAAAGCTGAATTTTGTGGGAAAAAAAGGACATAAATTTAATTTGGGTGCAGTGTTGCATGACCACACAATTGTCAGTTAAAGTAATGCAGAGCCGTACCGCAAAAAATGACCTGGTCAGGAAGAGGGGTAAATCTTCAGGAGGGCAAGTGGTTAAAGCTGAACTTCAGGAGAAGCAAATATTGTCCCAAGGGCTCAGTCACACCATGCTCATTGATCTGCATAGATCAATGCAGGCTCAGTGCAAGGGCACAGGCAAAAACAACTGCTTTCTGCATGTCCTGTTCACAACATACATGTGCTGTGGTGTGCACTGTGTAAAAATGCAGTCCATATGCGATTCTACGCAGTGCATGCTATTGCACTGGGTGCATAGAGATGAATAAAGCAACATTTGTGACACCGTAAAGAAAAAAAAACATGGCCAGAGCAGCACGTTGTGTTTTTTCCATTCTGACTTAATCTTGGGTTGTTTTGTGTATTTCCAGATTTGTGTAGTAATTCAGCACGAAACTTGCTGATGTGCAGGAACTTCTTGTAATAGAAACCAGTCACTGCTGCTCTTTTCCCAGTGCAGGGTGACTAGTCTTGTTCCCACCTCTTCCTGTAGGAAAACTGTTGCTGGTGGACCTGTTGGGTCCCACCCACAGTTCTACCCTCAGCCCAGGCTATGTACAGCATGGTGAAGTCGCTTCTAATTTTATAAGGTAATAAAGTTTGCAAAGGCATTTGGTACACACACAGTAGATATATACCTTTTCTGGTTATTGAGGTATATATCTAATTTTTCTTCCCAGAGTTCAGCTTTTATAACCTGTGTTTCTTTACCTTTGTTCCACTGATTGCTTCTTTTCAGCACACTTGTGGCTAGACTATGGCCATTCAGATACTTTTAAATTGTTAACCAACAGTAAATGTTGGCTAACAACAGCTAAACATCTGTAGCTGAAGGAACTGTGGGGCAATTAATCTTCAAAGTCATAGCAGAAGCACTGAGGTCATCTAAATAATCAATCTCATGTATGGCATTCTGAAAAAGTACCAAATCCAGTTACTATGTTATACACAAACTCATCATAAAGTAAACAGAAAAACATTGTTCCCTGACTGAGCCAAATCCTCCTACATTTGTGTCCGTCTCACACACTCCCTCTCCCAGACACTACTACCCCCCCCCGATACTACTACCCCCCCCCCCTCGACAAGCTACAGGTTTGTGAATCTGTAATAAAAATGCTGCTAGCCACGTTTCTACCGCATTCTTTTATCCTAGTGTAGTACAAGCAGGCACAGCCTACAGGAAAGAAAGGACAAGCATGCTCTGAATTCAGCAGCAGTGCAGCATTGTTGCCACACAACCATAGAAAGCATTAGTTGGGTTCCAATGACATAATCAACACATATGTGTGTGACTTAGTATCGGAATTAAGAGAAAATGGAGTGCAAGTGAACTTAAAATTTAGTGCTTCAGCACATTTTTTTTTTTACTTGGAAGACAAAAGGTTTATTTTATGTTCTTTAGCAGCCCTGCTCCCTCTGCTCCTTCTTTTGACAGTGATAGATGAGCCTTCCAGCCTTCTAATTTCCAGTGTAAATACAGAGCAGGTGTTCCTTGTGTGGGGATCAAGGTGAGCTGAGCTGCAGAGAGAAGAACTCGAACAACTTATTTTTTTACTCTGGACTTTGAGGATGAATTGCTCAATAATGCCTACAGCTACAGAGGTTATAGAAAATGTAAGCTCAATTATTGTTTGTTCATTTACCCAGGGACCAGTTTACTTTAAAAAAGGACAGAAAACCCCCTTATTTTCCCAGTATGGTACTGTGGAATTCTGTCTATCATGGCCCCAGACAGCCTTTGCCTATTACATTTTAGTATAGGTGAATAGGAATACATTTTTACAGATTAGAATTTATGGTTTATTTCTTCAATTTAGCTGTCTCTGCAGCGGTAAGAAGCTTCCCAGAAATAGTATTCATATTACAGCCGTAGGATCTAAGGAACCAGACAGACTTTACAGATTTCCTTCTGTATGCACATTTGTCACTGCAGTCTGTAATATCGGCGTCATTGGCTGTAACCCAGCAATATTTATAATGTCATTTGACATATATTATTGATGCCACCCTGATATGTATTACTATCCTGATCTTTTCTGATATTCTTCCAATATATGTGAACAATGCACTTCATTAAGTCTGATAATTCAGGCTCGTCCATGAAACCTTAGAACTTTCATCCTTTACAGCGTTGTATGCGGTCCTGTATCTATCCATTGCAGCCATTGCTGTGCTATATTTTAGGGCTCTGTTCTTGCTGCCTCCTGTATATCTCTGATTCTGTTGCAGTGAGAGGCTGCGGGTTTTATGCTGTTATTGAGTGACCCCCGTCTCAGAGACATTCCTCGTTATGAATAGTGAAGATTGCTTGTTAAGTGGAGAGAGGCGCTGGGCACATTTCATTCCGGCTCCTTTTGTGTTTTTCCTCTTGCTCGGTCTCTGCATGGACGCTGCCAGCCTCCCATTAACACTGGAGCCAAATGACTGTCAGCTGGATCCTCCACTTCCTATTTCTCTGCGCATTTAATGAGTTTGTATTGTGCTGGACTCTGTGCTCAACCCTTTCCTATCCAGCCTTTGTGAAAACTGGCAACCTGGTGATTATCAAAGAGACAGAGAGAGATAGACAAGGAAAAAGAGTATGTAGAATCCTCCCAATGTCTAGATGAAGGGCCGGTATTTCTGTACCCACTGTTCTTCCTCCTAGCACTTGCAGGTATATGCGTATGTATGATATATTTGAAGATATGAGAGCAGAAAAAAAGGATTGGGCATTATTTAATGGCACGAAGCTAACAAATGTAAAGTGCCCCATGGCAACCATTCCCATGCATCCTTATTAGACACAGTTGTGACAAACATCAAGGTGGCTATAACAGGCTGATGCATCTTGGTGAGTGGCAGAAACCGAATGCAAAATAGATTTTTGTGTCTTTTGTACAAAATGGGGGTGGTATGGGCTTGAAGACATATTCTCTGGATACAGAAGCTTCTCAGTGACATAGGGTTAAGTTATACTTTGCTTTCAAAGCTCTCTCAGTGAAGGGGCTTGCTGGCAGGAGCATTGTTAGTGAATAGGGTAGGGGCAATGGAGGCACTACATTCAGCTTTTCATGGCGATATAAATCAAGAGTTTAAGGTATCCACATTTTTTACTTTCAACTTTGAAATGCAAATTGGTAACAAGCTACCTGCTCTGTAGTGTGTTTTTCTATTGATAGCCTTACTGCACCAGTACACCCCAGCGCTATCATGTTAGTAATCTTTGAGCCCCCTACTTTTAAAGTGATTTTAAACCTTTATTTATTTTAACCACTTTCCCTCCAGAGGATTTACCCCCCTTCCTGACCAGGCCATTTTTTGCGATACAGCGCTGCGTTACTTTAACTTACAATTGCACGGTCATGCAACGCTGCACCCAAATGTAATTTATGTCCTTTTTCCCCACAAATAGAGCTTTCTTTTGGTGGTATTTAATCGCTTCTGCGGTTTTTATTTTTTGCGCTATAAACAAATAAAGATTGACAT